GCTGAGTACAGAGCCTGGACAGCAGAGGTATCTGGCAAGCTGGAGGCACCCCTACTATGCCACAGCAGGCCAGCATAACTGGGGTGTGATGGCTAGGACCTTAGGGCCATATCCAAATATCACCATCAGATGGGCTCCCAGTGCCAGTGGCCCTGGCAGGCAGGTATGGCCAGAACTCATATCAAGGGTCCCTGACCTCTAGAGCATTTTTAGGGTCAGGAAAGCACTGGCTCGGTACTAGAGCACTGGCTCTAGGACTAGTACAGTGCCCCCCCCCACTGCATCCCCCCAGCTTATTCTGTCCACAACAACAAGGCCCCAGCAGTACAGTAGGTGACATCCTAGCTCTGCCACTGTGTGTGACCTTGAAGTTGTTTCTTTATCAATCAAATGAGGATAGTATCTATCCATGTCATAGATTTGTTTTAGGAATATCCTAGTTAAACTAAGGTGCTCAGGACTGGGCCTGTCATTCAGCTCAGCTGCCACTAGTAAATGCTCTTCCGGGCTTCAGTCTTTTGCTTGGTACAGAGTAGGAGCTCAGTTGTACACCTGAACAATCATGCATGCTGATGGATCCTGGTATGTGAGAGGTTCTTCTCCTGCAGTCCCTGCCATAGGGAGGCCTTCTTGGGAGGGCCTGATTAGGCAGATCATGCTCCTCTAACCTCTTAGGCTCGAGCCCAGAGGAAACAGCAACTTTCTTCGCTGGGAAAGTGTTGTGGGGCTCAAGTGTTTGGGGGTTTTCAGAGTCAACCGTCAGAGGCGAGGGAGTTTCTCTGCTGGTGGTGGCAGGGGCTCTCAGCGTGCACACAGCTTGTGAGCACAGCAGACCGCTGCGGTCTGCAGGGAAAATGCCGACTGTGTTTATTTTTCACCTGAGCCTGCAGGAAGTGGGAGGGGGGGTTGGGAGGAGGCAGGGGCAGCCCAGCCAGACCCAAGATCGACTCCATAGCAGACACCTACCTCAGGAGTCCCCCATTTCCACCTCCCTCTGCCTGGCCCTTTCCTGACTCCAACCTGCAAAAAAAGAGGACGACACACTAGAGCACCAGATGAGAAATTTCTAGCCATCTGCTATGGAAAGTGTCCCTAAAAGGGAGGAGCACCTTTGGGATGGTAGACTTGAGTAGATGTGGAGAAAGGTCTTTGAGCAGTAAGAACAATGTAGCATCAGGAAGGACCACCTCTTCTGGGAGTGAGCCGGATCCAAGCATCCAGCAGGAAGCTGGACAGTATTGGTGGGGACTGATGGGTGACTCTCAGCCTTAGGGTCTGAGTCCTGGATCTGTCCTGAAGTGCCACAGGCTGGTGGGAGAGGCCATGAGGGCTCAGGCAAAGGCAAAGAACAGGGACCTGGGGTATCTTGAGAGAAGAGTACAGACATTACTTATGTATTAATGCATCCCATCATGCTCTAAGCCCTTACTATGTACTCTGCTCTCAGAGTAAGAGAGGTGAGGTTGTGCTCTTGAGGCACTCAGGGCCTGGTGGGGATAGTCCATCCAGGCCTGCCTCCCTCCCTTGGGGGCTGGGCATGGTTACCATAAGTGAACCCACCCTGTTTTCTGGAAGCCTGACCCTGGGACAGTCTTGTGCTGGAGCCCTGGAACGGGCAGGGGGAACAAGGGGCCCTGTGCTAGACGGTTCACCTCTGGCTACTACCACTAGATACGGAGAGGGCTGGGGAGTGAGGCTTGGAGGCAGCCTGCATGAGCATGGAAAGGACTGCCCACCCCAGGCCCTCCAACCGCCAGTAAGCTCTCTGCCCCACCCTGCCCACCCAGCACTTCTGTGGCTTGGCTGGAGGCTCCTGCTTAATGAGGCTTTTCCCCTGTTCCCAGGGAAGGTTGGTAGATAGGACAAACCCATTTCCCCCAGAACTCTCATCATTCCACTGCCTTGTCACGTGCATACATAGCAGGCCAGCAGCTATAGTTTGAGCTGTTTTCTCTGAGGTTCCACAGGCCCAGTCTGAGCTGTGCTGTGACCTGGGGCAAGCCACCCTCTTGCTGCCTTGCAGCGGCTCTGGGCAGAGTGCATAAGACTGTCTTCCTAAAGCTGGCACCTTGGATTCCCGGCCCTGCTCCTAAGGTTTTTCAGGGTCAGAGCTGTCCATACCCAGCTTTCCCTCTAAGCTACCCAGGCCTCCTCAGTCCTAAGGGTTAAGGAGCCAGAGCCAAGTTTGGATGGTAGCGCCTTCTCTGAAGCAGGAGTGTAGACTTGAAAACCTCCTGATTCTGGAGGCAACTGTAGAGGTGTCATCCCACCTGGGGAGCTGAGGCTCCAGGCGTTTGTACCTTTAGATAGTGAATGGTGGAATGCTTTCTGCCAGGGTCTAATGTTCCTTTGTGCCCAGTTTCCCTGCCCTCAGCTGCCAAAGCCTACCATCTGGTTAGTGCTGTTCTGGGAACCTGTTAGGACAAAAAGACCTCAGGGATTTCTAGGAAGCTTCTTACTTGAATAGATGCTTAGCTTCTGCTTCCCAACTGACTTCATATCAGAGGATGGAGAAGGATGCTGGAGGCTGAAACACCTATGGGTAATCCTGGGTATTGTAAGCAAGAATAAGAGTGGAAGATGCCAGAGGGAGCCTCGCACAGAGCTTTGCAAGCCCCAGGTGAAGAAAACAGTTAGGGAGGCCACTGGAGGATTTAGGCAGATGAGTGACATGACCTGACTTATTTGGCTATTGGAGGAAAGATTGGCGGAGGGCACAGGGAGGAGACTGCTGCAATTGTCCAGGTGAGAAGTGACAACAGCTTAGACTAGGTAGGGGACAGGAAAGAAGGTAAAAGTAGGTGGATTCTAGATTTATTTTATTATTTTTATTTTTTTTGCAGAAACTGAATCCTAGAGTACTCTCTCAGCTTTTTTTCTTTTGTGACAGAATCTTGCTAAGTTGTCAAGGCTGACCTCAAATTTGTGATCCTCCTACTTCAGCCTTATGAGTAGCTGGGATTACAGGTGCATGCCACTGCACCTGGCAGATTCTAGATTTTGAGGTAGAAAGTTGGTCACGGGGTATGAGAAAGAGAAGAATCAAGGACGACTCCAAGGTTTCTGGTCTGAGCAACTCTTCAGGTTGGAGTTATCAACTGAGGAAGAGAGGAGCATATGGAGTAGAAAGTCAAAAGTTCTGATTTGGATATGTTGAGTTTGGGGGGCATTTTAGACCTCCAAGCAGAGTTGAATAGGCATTTGGAATGTGGAGTAACATGAGAAGTGGGTCTRGAGATATAAATGTGGAGTCACTGGATGAAGATGTTTAAAGCAAGAGCCTGGAAGAGAAAGGTATTGGGGAGTCAGAAAAAGTGGGCCTGTGGAGTTGGAGGGAAATTAGGCAAATGTGTAGCATTCTGAAAGCTAAGCGAAGAAACTCTGCTTCAAAAAGGAAGGAGAAACTAATTGTGTCTGATGCTGCTAAGAAATCAGGTAAATGAAGACAGAATTGACCTGAGAGTTCAGAATTGTGGAAGTCATTGGGGACCTTGATAGTAGTTTCTGGTAGAGGAACGGGTTGAAGGAAGAGTGAGAGCTGAGAACTAGAGGCTAGGCCTGCTGGGGTTTCTATAAAAGGGAGTGAGACATGAATTGGTAGTTAGGGGAGGATTTAGATAGAAGTGGCAGCCTGTGTGCACTTTGGTAGGGATGAAATTGGACTTGTGAGGTGCTTGGCACAGTGCCTGGCATGTGGTAGGTACTCAGTGTCTGATGGATATCACATGTGTCCACACATCCCACACCTGCCCCAGCCTACCTCTTTACCTGTTGCTAGCCATCTATCAGGACATCAGCTCCTGTCTGCCTGGGGCAAAAGAACTGGTGCAGCTTATAGCCTGGAGGCAGGAATGCAGGGGCAGATGGCAGGCCGGGGGTGTTGCTGAGAGCGGTGGGAGCCTGTGCCCAGCTGGGAGCTTCACTTCCTGGTTATACTCGGTCTCATACCCAGCTTTCCCTACATCCTTACCCTGGACCCCCAATAGACAAGTACCAAGGAACCTGTGCTAGGCTCCAGCCTTTACCAGGAGAGGAAACTGAAGATCTGAAAGAATCTGGTTAAATTCACCCGGCAGGGAATTTTATCCTAGGAGGCCAGAATACAACCACCTTCTCATTACTGTCTTGCCCCAAAAGATGTCCCCTCTTTCTTCTGTGCCATGGGTCTGAGATCACTCATCTGTACTCTTAGCCAGCAGCATCCCCAGAAACATTCTGAGTGGGAAGCTGAGCCTTGACTGGATGATGAGTCTCCAGAGCTCTGGTCTGCGTAGGTGTGCACTGAGGACATGCAGAGCTGGGCCTTGGGCATGGCAGTGACTCCCTGTGGCTGGGTTATATAGAGAGCCCTTTCCCCCAGCCTGCTGACTGAGTCATTTCAGGACAAAGAGCTGTGCGCCTAGTGTGAAAAGTGAGAGTCCTGAGGAAAGTAAGAGTGCTGAGGAAACCGGAAGACTGGGGGCTGGGCAGGTTGGCCCCACCTCTCTTGAGTTAGGGGACCAAGGGGGGGAGGTCCTGCCTGGTGTCACCATATCCAGTTAGCACTGAGGTGGGGCTAAGGGTCAGACTTAGGACCCCCAGTCTAGRGGCTGGAAGAGGAAAAGCTCTAAGCCTTGCTGCCTGGGGCTGGTGGCTGTGAGTAGCCCTTATAAACAAGCCACTGGTTCTCAAACAAGCTGGATATTCTCTGGGAAAGGTAGGTTAGGAAGATTTCCCAGAGAGAGATGCCTCTGGGAACTGAGTGCCCAGAAAATCCAAGAGGTTTTGATTACCTGGGCAAAGTGTGGGGGCTAAAGGGCAGAAGACTGCACTGCTGGACACAGGGTGGGTTGAGTGGTGGATGCCCTCTTCCCTGAGGCCTGTGGTTTTGGCTAGCACCACTTCTTTGACAGTTGAGCTGCCCACACTGCTCACTGCAGCTCTGCCTATATGCATGTCCCTACCCTCATGACTTCCTCCTTCAGGACTCCCCAGGTTCACCTGCCCTCCTAATTTTTCAGAACAAGGCCAATCAGCCAACCCACAGTGTCCCCCAACTGTCTCCTCTCTACGAACATTTCAGCAGCCCACACCCCACACCTGCACCTTCGGACATCAACCAGAAACAAGGTATGGGCCTGGAATAGGGAGGGGTCTGATGCGAACAGCCTAAGGCCTTCTATTTTATGAGAGAACCTGAGACTGTGCAAATCAAGGGTCCAAAGAAAATGCCAGAAAGATAATTTGGGGAGTCTGAGGGAACCAGAGGACTGGGTAGATGGTGCCAGGTCACAGAATATGAAGCCTTAAAGTTGGGGTAGAAGCCTGCCCCAGTGGCAGTGTGAGCTTCTGATCACTATGAGCAGCTTCCTGTCCTAGTGAGAAAATGGAAAGTGGTGGTTGTGATGGCTGATTCACCTCCCCTCAGCCAAAGTCATTCTGAAATCTATTGTCAGCTGTAGGAAACCTGCTGACTCAAACCTGAGGGACTGGTTAGTAGGGGGKAGGCCTAGCATCCCAGGTAAGGTTCCTCTCGACTAGGGCCTACCTCCTGGTTCAGAAAGCCAGGCAGAGCCCCCAGCAGAGAGGCTCCAACTGCAGAGCTTCAGTGGCCCAGGGAATGGTGAGGCCTAGCCGCCACCTCCTGAGGACTGCCTACTGGTCAACCAGTGCCCTCTGGCAAGTCACCCAACCCCTCTGCCCTTGATTCCCTTGCCTGTCAGAAGGCCACTGTTTTCATGCTGGGATAGTCCTAAACAAACCAGTTTGTCTGGACCTCTAGCAAAGAGAGGTTGCTCTAGGATGCAGGAACTGCTGAAGTCACCCCCAGATCAAGCTAGCCCAGTTACTTGGCTCCTCTCCATGGCAGGAGTTCACAGGCCTCTGCAGACCCCTGACCTCTCTGGCTTCTACTCTCTGACCTCAAGCAGCATGGGACAGCTCCCTCATACTGTGAGCTGGTGAGTATGGGCCCAGTGGGAAGGGGAAGGGGGCACTGTGTGGTGGTTGAACGTTGCCTGCCCTTCCATGTTCTTTACAAACATCATAGGATGACCAGCAATTGTATCCCAACCTGCTCTGAGCTAGGGGTTCTTGTGGTTGGTTCCCTGGCCCAGGGCATTCCCCAGAGAGCTTGACATATTTCCTCTAGAGAGGCCAGAGAGCTGGCTGTTGGTTCCAGCCCTATGAAACCTGAACTCTCCATCATGGGAGAACTCTGGAGCCATATGAGTATGTGAGGAAGAAAAGGTAGGCCTGAGCAAGGAGGTGACAGCATGAATAGCCACCAGAGAGGGTGCTGCTTCTCAGCTGCCTGGTGGGCAGGGGGACACTTCCCACTAACCTCAACACCTGCTGTTGGCTGGTCTCTTCCATGGCTGAGCTGCTTGAATAGCAGGTTCCCCTTGTCCCTGTGGTACCTGATTGAGCTCAAGCCCCTGACCAGCCTGCTTGGAGGGTGTACTAAGGCTAGGCTAGAAAAAGCCAGCCTGGACCCAAGTCAGAAGGCCTGACTGTGGGCCAAAGGATCTATCCTCAGCTTAAATGGGGTCTTCGCAGGCCACTTAGTCATTTACTTGTCACCCATAACGTTACCTGGAGGAGAGCAGTCAACCAGCAGAAGGAAAAGTTGGCTTCCCAGGAAGGGTAGGGAAGGCCAAAGATGCAGCATGCCCCCTTTCCCTTACCCTGCACCCATGTTCAGCACACTCCTTCATTCCCAGATTCTCTTTGGACAAAGTGCCATTATAAATACAAATCTGGACTATCCTCAGGATCAAAGGTGGGATGACAGTGCTTAGGCCAGGCACAGTGGCACACACCTGTAATCCCAGTGGCTCAGGAGCCTGAGGCAGGAGGATTTCGAGTTCAAAGCCAGCCTCAGCAACTTTGTAAAGCCTTAAGGAACTCAGTGAGACCCTGTCTCTAAATAAAATACAGAAAAAGGGTTGGTGATGTGGCTCAGTGGTTAAGTGCCCCTGAGTTCAATCCCCAGTTAACTCTCCAGAGTACTGTAGGCTAGTAGCTCCAAGGCCAAGAGACTTGAGCCTAGAGGGGATATTTACCCAGTTAGGCTCTAATGAAAGTCTTTAGGGACAGGGAGGGAGAGCCCTATGTTCTTAGCTCTTACCAGGCAGCACCTGGCTGCCAGACTCTGAACTGAGCCTTACTGTGTGCCAGGTAAGGTTATGGGTATCAGGGAAGCACTGCTTCAGCTGTCTGATCCTTAGGTCCCTGACTTCTCCAAACTCAGTTTGCCCAGTGATCCAGGCAAGAAGCCAGGCAGTTGCAGTACACTGTTAGCATTTCTTTGGATGGGGGCTGTAGGAGCCCATAGGGGTACCTTATCTAGCTTGGAATCTCTGGGCTTTTGGAGAAAAGAGTGACAGCCAAACAAGACCCAAAGGATAAACAAATAGTGAAAGCAAGCAAATTGAAGCAGAAAAATAATCCAGACATTATGAGTAGAGGATGAGAGGCCCTTGTACAGGTATCAGCCCTATATTATCAAGGAAATTTAGGAGACAGGCTAAAGGGGCCTCAGGAAGCCTGCTAAGCTGGGTCCYAGGAGAATAGCAGTTCCAGCCCTTAAGCACAAGCTGGTCCAGTGAAATAAGGGCAAGGTGAAGTACAAGTTGCCCCCTGGTGGCAGATGCCAGAAGTAATCCCAGCAGAAGCCAATCTGTTTCAAAGACTATGGGTCAGACCAAGAAGGTACAAAAGCTTTCCCCATGTCTGGTTGGCAGCCAGACTGCTAACAGCTGTCTCTCCCAACCACAGGCCCAGCCCTCCTCTCTACCCCCTGTCCCCTTCCTGCGGATATAGACAGCACTTCCCTGCCCCCACTGCAGCCCCTGGCACCCCCTACCCCAGGTGAGTCCCCTACCCCTGCAGCCAGGCTCCTGCTTCCTGTTGCCCAGGCTTAAGTGCCCACACAAGGCCATGCTCAGGCCAGTGCTTACCCCGTGTTAGTTGTTTGTCCATCTGTCTGCCTGTCATCCTGCAGCCCCCTGCTGCCCTAATGCCTGACAGCAAAACTGGTAGGAGTGTAAGAGGCCCCAGTCCAGGCTATATGTGCAATAAAGCAACAAAGAAGCTAGGATAGCAGTGCATGCATAGCTCAGCCAGTGTGCAGATGTGTGTGCACTCACCTCTGTTCTGCATCCCTACTGGAGCATCCCGTGAGCTCTGCCCAAGTTGAGGCAGCATCTTCTACCTAAGTGTCCCCAGCCTCTGTCCTTCAGGGGGTTGCCTGCTCAGGGATCCTATACCTGTGCAAGCAGCAAGGGGCACAGTGATCTCCACAGAACAGTAAGGAAGTAAGCTGGGAGGTGAGTGCACAAGTGTCCTTTCATTTAGCTTATTCCCTCAGTGACAGACCTGGTGTCAAGAATGTAACAGCAAGGAATTCAGCAGTCATTTCCAGTTCCACTGGAGCTCCCAGCTCAGGGTGAGAGGTATAGATACAGCACAGCTATAAGTGGGCCAGTGGGTAATCAGGAAGCCCCCAAGGAGACTGCAAGCAGGCTTGATGGGTCAGAGAGCGCCTCGTGGAAAGGGTTAACATTTCCTGACAGGGATAAAGGGAACAGCTGTAACAGGGCTTAGCTATGGGTGGAGAGTGCTGGGAAATGGTGTAGAAATAAAGCTAGAAATGTCAGCATGGATGCTTAAGCAGGGCTGTGCAGGACTTGGGGAAAAATCTGGATTTTATTCTGTGGGCAGTGGGAAAATTTCAGCATTCTTTTAAATGGTCACGCTAGCTGTGTGTGGAAAGGGCCCTGGAGGGGGTCAAGTGGGAGTGAGGAGGCCCACAGGCAGCCCCCAGCTCTTCAGCCTGACTTGGTGGCAGCAGGTGGGGAGAAGATGATACATTTGAAAGCTACTTGGGACTATTTAGTAACCACCCGAATGGCATATCCATGCAGTGTCTGTGTAATGTGTGAGGAGCAGATATTTGTACGTATCTCTGTATATGTGTGTCTAGGTCAGTGGGGATGGGGAATCTGTTCCTCTGTGTCCTTGTCTACTGTGCATGGGCCTCCATGTATGTCTGAAGGTCTGCCCATAATTCCTGGCTCAGTGTTAATTCTCTTCCTGTTTCCAGGTTTACCCACCCATCCTTGATGCTGGGCTCTGGTGTCCCTGGTCACCCAGCAGCCATTCCCCACCCGGCCATTGTGCCCACCTCAGGGAAGCAGGAGCTGCAGCCCTATGACCGCAGCTTGTAAGTAAAAACACACTCTGTGGGTGAAGGGGAACAAGAAGGTATAAGATGGGCAAGTGAACAGATCTACTGTCAGCCAGGTCMCATATGCCTCCCACCAGACCCAAGAACTGCCTGGTGGCCCCTCTAAGCCTTCTTGTGGCTCTGGCTACTGACCACTGTTTTAGCTCTCTGCTCATTCATTTGGGTCAGCTAAAAAGAGTCCATTTACAAAGCCTTAGAGGATCATACACTTACGCACCCACACTCAAGGAAGGTGTTCAATGATTAGCGGGGAGGGATTTGGTCCTGAGCAGTCTGTATATCTGTCCCTTAGGAAGACACAAGCAGAATCCAAGGCAGAGAAGGAGGCTAAGAAGCCAACCATTAAGAAGCCCCTCAACGCGTTCATGCTGTACATGAAGGAGATGAGAGCCAAGGTCATTGCAGAGTGCACACTCAAGGAGAGCGCCGCCATTAACCAGATTCTAGGTCGCAGGGTGAGGCCATGGGGCAAGTGGGTTGGGGGGACTTCTGATCCCTTTCACCCTGCTGACTCTGTGATGCACCCCATTCTCCCCCACCCCTGCAGTGGCATGCACTGTCAAGGGAAGAACAGGCCAAGTATTATGAATTGGCCCGTAAAGAGAGGCAGCTGCACATGCAACTATACCCAGGCTGGTCAGCGCGGGACAACTACGTGAGTGGCCAAACACATCCAGCAAGGGTGGGCAGGGGAACCTTCAAAATACTGTGTCTCAGGCCTCAATCTCAGGTGGGAAAACAGCTACTGTCCTGACCAGTACAGATGTGGTATAGAGGAGGTAGGGGCATGGAGAGTCCAAGGCTCAGAAGAAGCAAGCCTGGGGAGCTACCCTAAAGCCAAGCCCACACATCCTGTTCTGCACTCTAGAATCCATTCGCACATGGGATGTTGCCAGTATTTGGGCCACATGGTAAGAAGGGGAAGGGGCCATTCAAATTGTAGACCAGATTGGGAGAGGGAAGAACCCCTAAATGTACTCCATGGCAGCCTAGCAAGAACTGCAATCAAGAAACTATAGGACCCCCAGGTTGGAGGAGCGTGAATGTCCAGAATTCCAGGGGTAATTAGGCTAGGCAGTAGCTGCAGATAGCCCAGTGTCTACCTCCCAAATCTAAGTATCCTTCCTTTTTTCCCTGCAGGGGAAAAAGAAGAGGCGGTCAAGGGAAAAGCATCAAGAATCTACCACAGGTGAGGCCTTGCCTCAACAGTAGTCTCCTCTCCATGCTCCCATTTTAAGAGCAGCTCTGCTCTGGCCCAGAGGGGTTAGCAGAGCATTCAGCCAGGAACCTTCAGGGCCTGGGCCCTCTGGAAATGAAGGCCTGCATTTCACAAGTCAAATTCCCAAGCAAGGAACAGCTATACTAAATCCAAGGGAAGACCAGCTCCCCTTGACACCCAGGGGAGAGGGGTCTTCATTTAGCARGTGATATATCCTCCACTTTTGTCAGCCCTACCTTTGGTTAAACTCTACCAGTGTGGTTCCAGGAATAAGCCAGAGTATGCTGGCTGTCTAGTTCTGCTGAGAGGAGGAGCAGGCTGTCTGGGCAGAAGCTGACCAAGGCCCAGGCCCAGGCCCAGCCCAGGTCACACAGTCTGCTAGCTAGTGCCTGGCAATTTCTCCACCATCATATYCCCATCTCTTACCCTGGTTTCTCATGGCAATGCAAAGTGCTCTGTGTAGAGATCCCAGGAAACCCACACTCTGCAGGTCTCCTTCCTGTGGGTGAATTCCTGCTTCACATGSGTGACTTTCTCAGCTGTGTTGCCCCTACAGTGGGAAGCTGGAAACTAGGATTGGGACTGTGCGGACAAAGTCTGTAGCTCTTTCTCTGAGGCTACACAGAGTGTAAGTTGTAGCCTTAGCCCTTAAGGGAATTTGGGTCAGAAAGACTGGGCATTGGCAAGAATGAAGAAAAACTRGATAAAATAGGAAGGCAGTCGGGAAAGAGATGGACAGCCCCAGTGCAGAAAAGGCTGGATCCCAAGAGCCTCCCTGGGCTTCTCTGCAGTCTCCAGGTTAGAAGGGTTCCCACAAGCAAAAGAGAGGAGCCAGCCTGAGGACCCCTACCCCACCTCACCATTCTTCCCTCTGACTCTATTGCCCAGCTGGGTTACCTCCTTTCCTGAAACCTTGCTCTGGGGCCTAGGGCTGTGCCATGGAGAGGTCCATTCTGCTTGTGGGGGCTGTGGGATGTCTATAACTGGCTAACACTGATATTACCTCTTCTTTCTGGGCCCTGCTCTGCCCTGCTGCCTGCCTGCTCGCCCTCTGCCCTGCTCTGCCCCTCTGGCATGGCTGTGAGCAGACACTGGCTCGCCTAAGAAATGTCGTGCTCGCTTTGGCCTCAACCAGCAGACGGATTGGTGTGGTCCCTGCAGGTGGGTTTGTCCCCACCATCATTCTCCCTTTGCTTCAAGCTGCTTCCCTGACTACACATGTTCTGCTGGGCCTGCAGCCCCCTCTGGTCCCTCAGCCCCCTGGCATACCCAAGAGATAAATAGGGGAACATTGAACACAGATTGTGACAGCACTTGGGTCTAGGTGGAAGCAATGGAGGAGGACATGCAGAATGTTCCAGAAAGGAAAGCAGACTTAAAGAGATTGCTCTGGTGCCAGTCAGGCCTAGTAGGTCCTTAGCAGACAGATCTGTCACCTATCACTCAGGAAGCCTAAGCCCCTAAATCATTATGGCTTTCCACTTCTTCAAAGTGGGACCCATGCCTGTTCGATCCCAAGCCCTTAAATCTGAGAAAAACGAAATGATAACATCAGACAACCACCTAGACAACCTTGTCGCCAGGCAGCCTATGATTTTCTTCTCTCATACCTACTGAGATCAGAGGGCTGGAGAGGTTAGGAGAGAGAAGCAGCATTACTCTTGGACTGTCTTACCCAGAGAGCCCTGTGGCACTAAACTTCTGTTTTTTTATCATGGGTATGAAAAGTTTCATCCACCAAGTGGTTAAAGATGCCTTTTTTAGGCCATACCTGACAGAGCCAAGGCTGAGGGTACTCAGACAGTAAGGTCACTGGCTCTATGGAACACTTGTCCAGCCCTTTGGTATGCCTATCATTGTCACTATTCAAGGGCAAGGAGAAAGGAATTTGAGGGTGGAGGCACGTGTGCATACATGAGGTCCTCCTCATTCTGTTCTACTCAAAAGACCAACTGTGGCTTTGAGAATTCTAGGTTGTAATATACAAGAGTCCCAGTCCACTACTTCTCCCCTTAGCCCTGCTCTGAAGACACGGATTGCTCAGCCAAGAACTACAGGCATTGCAGTCCTTTGCCTTAATGTAGATCTGAGTCCCCACAAACATGAAACAGAAGCTTAAAGATCCACACTAGGAGATGGCTTCCTTGGGGGGAGGGGGCCCCCACAGGCCAAGGTCCCCACCTTGTGGTTGTTCTGAAAACTGCACCTGACCTAGTCTGGGCCAAACCCAAGAGTTGCAGGGCTGATTCAGGTTTGAGGACATAAGCACATCCATCACCCAAGTCATGGGAAAGGACAAGAGGTCAGCCAACMTGTACAAAGACAGCATTTTTTGGTTTTGGTGTATGACTGTGAATTCACCCTCTGTTTACAGATAACTCTCTTCACTATTCCTAGGAGGAAAAAGAAATGCATTCGGTACTTACCCGGAGAAGGCCGCTGCCCCAGCCCCGTTCCTTCCGATGACAGTGCTCTAGGCTGCCCTAGGTCCCCAGCTCCCCAAGACTCACCCTCATACCTTCTGCCCCTCTTCCCCACAGAACTGCTTGCTAGCCCAGTGGAGTCGGCACCAACATCCCCATGTCTCTCCACTATTCTCAGTCTCCCTGCCCCTGGACCACCACAGGCCCCTCACAGCACCCTGCAGAACACACAAGTACAGCAACAGGAATCTCAGAGGCAGGCGGCCTAGCATGCACAGGACTCCTGGCCTCCTCCAGAGGTCTAACCCTTTAGAGAAAGCAGAAGAAGCCCTAGTCATATGGAAACTGGCCAGCAGGCCTCCCAATGCTCCATGTAGGGTCCATGCCCTGAAGATTTCAGAGGCTGAAAAACTTCTGCCTGAACGTGAGGCCATCAATTCAAACTTCTCAAGTGGTGGGACCATATTAATGCCAGTGTGTCGTCTCATTAAGGGAATCCTGATGCCTGTGGCAGCCTACATTGTGGTGTCCCCCACCCTGCTCCAAACCATGTGCTTTACTAGCCAGATACCCTTGTCTCCCTTGCTTTTCTGCTATAGGTCACAGAAGGGCAGGACTAAGCTCAGCTACATTCTCTACAGAAATGCCTCATCTGTCCTCTGCCACACCCTTCCCACACCAGACACTTCCATGGATCAAGAATAACCTGTTTTATCAAACAACATCTGAGCATGATCACAACCACAAAGCTCAAGATGACTATGCTTCTCCAAAGGGAATGGAGGAGCTGTTTACAGAAAACCAGCTGCTCTTCATAAGCTGGACCAGAGGAAGCCTCTTAGTATATTCTCAGGAGCTTAGAAGAGGAGGAGGGAATAGAATAGGTTTAGGCCTAACAACTTATCAGGCAAATGTGGGTTCCTGAGCAACTTAAGAAACCCTGACACCAAAGCTCAGGCACCAGATGATGCAGGCAAATAGTTCAAAGAAGTCATGGCCCAAATCTAGTATGTATCCCTCTCCATTCAGTCTTTTTCAGAGTTCCATTTCCAACTCATCCATGTCACTTGAGCCAGCTCTTGGGCAATTTAAAGAGAGTAAACCCAAAACCTCCTCCAATAGCCAGAGCTTGCCTTCTAGCATTCAGACCAGGCCAGCGTGTTTTTTTTCCCTTTGGGGCTGAAGGAAAGAGGACTGTTAAAACTAAAGGAGCCCAGAAACCTCTAGTGGTGGACATAGGTTTTCACCACAGCCTACTTTAATCAATTTTTGAGCCAAGCTTCAACCCTGAGCCTTGAGAAACAAGTCTTTTAATTTAACTTTTTTTTTTTTCCTTTTGCATTCTCCTCATTGTACATAGCCTGAATCCAAAGAAAAAGGGCTGTCTGTGTACTCATATACACCCTTACAAAAAGCCTTTAGTTACATACTTTAGCCACTGGTTTCTCAGAATCCAAAGATCACCTATTCTTGTGTAGTGTTGCAAAAAGTCTTGAGAAAAAAGGACCAATGTAGTGTTCAAAATATTTTTGTATTGTTAATGCATCATCAAAGAAAAACTTTTTTTTTTTAACATGAGAATAAAGATACTTTTTACTGGGTTTGTTTTTCAGAGTCTGACCCTGAGGAATAAGATGTTTGGGTAACAGCATGACATTTACCTTTCCTTCTCCAGTCACAAAACTTGGGGGTTAATTGCCTAATATGGTGTACATATTCCCAAGACTTCCAACCTACAGAAACTAGAGATCACCCTTGTCATTTACCCTATAAGGACGTGGACTCCCACCCCTAAGGCTGGGCTCATGCTGAGAATAAGCTTAAGACTACAGACCTTTACCCCACAACTGATGCAGCAAAGCCTGTTTTCCAGTGCCCTTATGAAAAGTGATGAGTTGGAAACTGCTATCCTATAGACCCTGAAAACAAAATGGTTGCATATGAACACTAGGCTTTTTCCCTGAGAGCAGAAAAAAAGATATCCTGTTTTCAAGGAAAATAAAAGCGATCAATCTCTTACAACTGTCCATCATAAAATCCTACAAAAAAGATTTTAATAGCACTCTTTGCTGGCAACGATTATGTCTATTAGGGTACTAAAAGTATTTTTCCTGCTGGGTGTGGTAGGCCCAAGCCTATAATCCCAGAGGCTCAAGAGGCTGAGGCAGGAGGATCACAGAGTTCAAAGCCAGCCTCAGCAATTTAGTAAGGCCCTAAGCAACTGAGACCCTGTCTCTAAAGGGCTGGGATGTGGCTCAGTGGTTAAGCACCCCTGGGTTCAATCCCCAGTACCAAAAAAAGAAGAAAAAAAAAGGATTTTTCCTGTTTTCATAAAATACCTGTTTAGTTTGATTGCTGATCTATAGTATGCTTTTTACAAGGCAATTACCATGCTAAAATACACTGCTAACTTCCTAAGACCTACTGTGAATGTGAGAGATCATAAAAACCACTCTGATCAGTTGGCCATTAGATAAATGCTGGGCAAAAAATTTCACAAGGCACAGCCACTAAGCCACCATTATGCATTGTTTTTTCTTTTAACTTTTTTGGATTTTATATTTTAAAAATATTTATAAAGCCATCTTCTAGAGTAGTGTTTCTTTAAAATAGGCCACTGGAAGCTGTAATCCCAGTCTTACTTCTTTGTGGGGGGTGCTACAGGAGACCAACCATTCTCTGGACATCTGTCCCATTTTAAAGAATTCCACTCTGGCTACTGGCCTAGTTGTTTCAAAAAATACATTCTAAACAGGGCTTCTTGCAAGCCTGGGTTGTTGCATCTGATTTGGTGTCTTATTTAGAGTACACTGGATACATAAACAATGCACCCTTTGTATAGTGGTGGTGGTGGTGGGGGGGGCGTCCTTTGGCAACTTTGTTAGACCAGAAAAAAGAAAAACACAAAAACCACCTGATTTCCAAAAGGAAATTCAAATCCTAACTCACTCCACCATGTTCCTATGAAGCCAGAGAATGACTTGAGATTGCAAACCCAAATTCAACTTCAAATACCATACCAGTTTCCCCTCACCGCTAGCCAAGAATCAACCATGTTTTCTGAGACATCACAGGACAGGATACCCTTATACATTCCCAGACAACTGACARACTTAAGCCTTTCTTGAAACAGATATTGACTGCTCCCATTTACTGCAACTGCCCCCCATCCTGTGCTAAGTGGATTCAATGAAGGCTCAGCCTAGCAAGTTAAGCAGGGCATTCCCATCTTTTTTTTTTTTTAAATTGGGGATTGAGCCCAGGGCTGTTCTACCACTGAGCTACATCCTCAGCACCCCCACTTTTTTTAAAAAAAAAGACAGGGTTTTGCTAAATTGCCCAGGCTGCCCTCAAAATTTAAGATCCTCCTGCTTTGGAGTCACTGGGATTACAAGTGTGTCACTGCACCCAGCTCATGTCTCCCAATTTGAAGGTGTTTTCCTCTTTTCTAATTAGCCCAGTGACTACCCTTGAGCTTTTTTTTGGGGGGGGGGGGGCGGGGCTGGTTCCATAACCTAGGGCCTCATGCATGTTAGGCAAGGAGTCTAACTGAGCTACATTCCCAATCTTTATAACTATCTTTTGAAGGACTCCTGTGGTCTTAAGTTCTCTGGCTGCAGAGTCCCAGGCTGGCATAGAAGTACTGCTTCCCAGCTCTGTGCAAAATAAGCCTGGCTAGGAAGGCCACAACCAGAAGGAAGCAGAATGAATGGTCTCTACATTCTGTTCCAGAAAGGAAGGAATCAGTTTCTGTATCCATTTCTAGGAAAACAGAAAGGCAAAGGTAACAAGGCCATGTCAAACACCTGCTTGCCAAAATTTTTTAACCCAAAACTAGTTAATTATATAAAAGCCAAGTTGGCTTTGCTTTTGAGTTTAGAAAGTCTGCACTGACTCTTAGGTCTCTTCAGAGTTCTTTTTTTATCAGTGCTGATAACTGATCCCAGGGTCTTGCACATACTAGGCAAGCATTCTACCACCGAGCTGCATGAACTGCCAAAATCCCAGCTCTCTTCTTAGTCTTCTTGAACTTTTTTTAAAAAATTCAGGCTCCTGAATTCTCTCATTTAAAGAGATACCTTCATGAATCTTTTTTTGCCTTCATGAATCTTGAAGTATAAAAATTATAAAGCAATACCTACTTTGTACATTAAGGACAGACAAGAAAGTGAGCCAATAAAATACAACACATCAAAAGAAATAACTTGTTTTTACAACATAAGAATTATTAAATCTGAGGGGGTATATCCTTACTATGACAGTGTTAGGGAGAAAGTTATAAAGTAACATTCAGAAAGGATACCGTTTACTTTTAGATCCTAAGTGACAAAGACATTCAATGAAAAACTGATAAGCCCAAGAATTGTCAGAGGAATCATAATTACCTTTAAAAAAGCACATCATATTGCAGGAGGCATTTTCTATGATACAGAAAAAAATTGACAAAGTTCTTTGGTACTAGCTGGCAGTCACCCAAATTTGCCAAATACCTACCCCTCATTCTCTTTCCTGACAAAATAAGTTAAGCCTTGAGGTTAACCAAGAAAGGATTTCTCCCCTCTCCCTATGTATATTAGTAATTGAAGAACGGCTTTATGATTCATCACCACTAACCAGTTTCCAAACCAAAGCTATTAACCAGTTCTCCTCTCTCATGCACTGAAACTGCTCAATTTCTTTATGCTCCATACCTGCATTTTATGGGACTCTTTATCACTAATGTTCTTTATACAGAAATACATGGAGCAGTGCTGCTAAATAAAGGTAAGTCCTGCCAGCAAAGGGCCTGTAATTAAGTCCTGGAACAATGAATATAAAGCAGACTGCATCAGACTGAAATTCATAGAAGCTACTATTTTTAACTTGTCCAAGGCCATGTAGGCACTAAGCAGCAGAGGTGAGACTCCAACCTTAAAGTATAATCTTCATGCCACATTTGTTTAGCATAATAGATAAAAATATAACCATGAATATACCTTTGAAGACTGAGGTATATCTGTTAAAGATAATAGGAAAGAGGTACTCACTACAGGTGTGAGCCTGGAACACTCCTGGTAGACAAATTAAAGGAATAATGAGCATATAGAAGGAACAGGGAAAAAAGGTTAGGAAAATATTACTGCAGCCAGATTGAAAAGGGTTTCTTAATACCATGCCTAGGATTTATCTGGATAAATATCCACAAATACCCTATTTTTTCCCAGGATGAGTTATCATATTCTCATTAATCCGTGAGATTACCAGGATCTTCTGTTTAAAGACTAGGAGGCAAAAAAAAAAAAAAATGTTGAGAGTGGCTGGATATGTAGCTCAGTTATAGGTAGCATGCTTGCCTAGCAAGTATAAATTCTAGGTTCAATCTCCAGTACCACAAAAAGCTATCTGCTGAGTGAGCACAGTGGTACACGCCTTCAATCACCCCTATATCATGGGGAGGCCAAGGCAGCAGAATCACAGGTTCAAAACCAGCTCATAACTTAGCCAGATCCAGTCTCAAAAATAAAAAGGGTTGGGGTAGAGCCTCCCTGGGTTTAATCCCCATACCATACATATACATGCACACACAAAGACTTAGGGCCATAATTAAAAGTCAAGAATGGAACAATAATTTAAACTACCATGTTGTCTTTTCATTCATCTTTCTGAAAGACTACATTATCCTTTAAATATGAATAATGATGTTATTTATGCCTGTCATTCTAACTTGAAGTGTCATGCATGCAGATCAAGAGCTAATGATAATAGGCTTCCATTTTCTAGAAGCTGAAATTCCTTTACAAAATTCAACATGGCATATGCTAGTAATAATCTTAGACCTTCAGTGAAAACCTGGGCTTGTCAAGATACTACTAAGGTTACCTGAGATGGTAAAATCTATTGTAGGAGTTGATCACTGCAGCTTGGACTGGACTCGTTACCTTCCCACTGCCCAGGGCAAATGGAAAACAAGTTTATTTCCTAAGACAAATTGCAATGGTCATCAACTTTCTGCAAAATATCAGAAGATATTTCAGGCTTTTTGGTCAAAACAGTCTGGGCCAGATATGACCCACATGCCTATTGTAGTTTTCGATCTCTGATAAAGGAAAATAAACTGAGAATTAGGTGAGACAACAAATGGAACTTACGTGAGCGTACATATGGGATTTTATTAGGCAAGATGAATTTGGAACAAGTGGGAAGAGAAATAAACAAGCTATTGTCGTGATAACCTACACCAGAACAACTCACAGTAAGTGTGAAGAAAATACAGTAAAATTACATATGAATACAGATAATGATAACTAGTAAAGATAAAGGGAACATAGTAGGAAAGGAAAAAAATCTGTGAAATATCTCAAGCCATCAAAAAATTTTCCTTCTACTGTAGAGGGAATGGCATGCGGTTTTGTGTGAAGAAGTGAAGCGCTGGCTCCAGTTAATCACATAAATGACAATTAGAAGAGACAGAAGTCATTAGTATTGTCTGGTTATGTCAGTAGCCTTCAGTGAGCTAGAACATGAACTGCCTAAAAAAATTTTTCAAGCTAAACCAAATTTAACCCACTTAAAGTAAGTGAAAAGACACATATAAGTCCACAAAAGCAAACTATTTACTACCTACTACATAACTTACTTTTTATTGAAAGTATCTTGCACTTATGATGTTTTCTGGATTTTGCCACATATTTCAATGTTAAAAGTTACTTTTTACATGCAAGTAGTATGAATAGTTTTCCCCACATGGGAATACTGATTTATAAAAGATGACATACCACATGAATGAAGTGTCTTTTTTAATTGAAAAGCTATCAAACTGTCTAGTTACATTTCTCCCCTCCAAATCTACAAACTGGGTAATAACTGAGTCTCTAGGCAACATATTCAAAACTGATTAAAAAAAAAAAAAAAAAAACCCGAGTCCTTCCGTCCAATTAAGGGAACCCTGCTACATACAGGCAAATCAATCCCAGTGGTACTGCTCGACTCCAGGAGGCTGGAAGAAATCCTAACAACCCCAACTCAGGACATTTACTTCAAGTAGCCTTTTTCCAGTTTCCAACTCATGAATAAAGATAATATTTTGTTAATTCTATTTCAGAATACTTTTTGCAAGTTGTTTTATTTACAACGCCAACTTTTAAAAGTTCACTAAAGTTAACTGGACAATAAACTAGGCAGAAATCGCTTTACAAAAGGAGGGAAAGCCCAAAATGCCACTTTCTACAGAGAACCCACAGTTCAGTTTTATTCAGAGTAAAGAAAAAAAGAAACTTTCTCTCACACTARAAGAAATTCAGCCATAGGTTTGGAGTCTGTACTCAAACTACACATGCAATAAGGACAATATTATGCTAATAAATTGATTTGCTGCTGCATTTGTCTACTGTTTGTCTAATATTAACAATTATAAACAGAGCAGTGCAACTAGTATTTGGAACAATCCTTATAGTGTTACAGTGTCAGGTACAACATTTCACTTCTCTTCACACCACTGGTTCTCTTTGCGTACCTAGAAGAAGAGACAGAAATAAGGAAGTACCTTAACCTGAGTAGTCTTCCTGAGACTTGTATTACATACTGATTCCATCAACAGCCTATGAGGTAAGTCAGAAGGACATGTAAAAACCAGAAAAACAGCCAGGTACGGTGGCATACACCTGTAATCCTGACGGTTCAGGAGGCTATGGCAGGAGGATTGCGAGTTCAAAGCCAGCCTCAGTAAAAGCGAGGTGCTAAGCAACTCAGTTTTACTCTGTCTCTAAATAAAATACAAAACAGGGCTGGGGATGTAGCTTAGTTATCAAGTGTTCCTGGGGATGTCCCTTAGTGATCTAGTGTCTTCAGAACCAACCAACACAAAACAAAACTGGAAAATATTAGGTTAAGAGTACAGTTTCTGACTCCCTTTGCTTACCTTCCCAGATTTGTATTCTAGTCCTGCTGAAATTATTAAAAACAAAAAATTCAATGGTAATTCACTTTAGTAAAAATTGAGAGAGCAAATTCAACTAGTTTATTCATATAATTTTGGTTCATAGCCACGCCAACAGTTTGTTCATTTCTTCCCCATTMACTAATTTGCTCAGAAGTATTCTAGCCTACACTCTTCCTTTGGCTATGCTTTTCTGAGGTCAAATATGTATGGTCTATATATCCCAGATACTAAAATTAGAAAGTACTAAAGAATTAATATGAAGGAACTCTTTGGTTTAAAACTCATTTTTTCTTATAGTATTATCTAAGTGTTTAAACTCAGAGCAGTAAAAGTATGTGTAGGACTCAAAAGGTAACTATTATCTCCCCTCAAGTTTCAAGATTCCTTGATAAAAGCACCTCTTTTCTTGTTATGTTAATGGGTTTTAGTCTCTTGAAAATCATGTGATCAAAGACAAACTTCATGTTACCCACCTGGGCTTCCTCCTCTTCAGTAAAGTCATTTTTGATATTGAAGGTTTTGCGAATCTCCTCAGGAGTTTTCCCCTTGATCATATTGGCAACAGTCTTGCACGTAACATCAAGCAAACCTTTGATGTCTAAGTAGTTTGCAGCCTGTAAAATGATAGCTGTTTTCACCCAAGTATATTAGATGTTTCAAGCTAAAACCAAAGTTAGTGACTGACAATCTACATTAATTAGCTTAAAATGCTAGTTAATTCTGCCAGGCACAGTGGYGCACACCTGTAATCCTAGCTGAGGCAGGAGGATCACCAGTTCAAAGCCAGCCTCAGTAATGTCAAGGTACTAAGCAACTCAATGAGACCCTGTCTCTAAATAAAATACAAAATGGGGCTGGGGATATAGCTCAGTGGATGAGTGCCCCYGAGTTCAATCCCTAGTATGGGGGGTGGGGAGGGAAAGCTAGTCAATTTTAAGACATTAATTCTTACTCCTTTATACTCATTCTTCTGCTATTTCTGCTATGAGCTATTTCATCTTTCACTAGTTTAAGGTAGAAGCTTAGCTTTCTGGCTTGAAACTTTTCTAATCTAAGTGTTTTTAGTACTATCAATTTCTTTCAGGTATTAATTTAGCTGTGCCCAAGAGATTTTTCGGTGTTTTACTTGCAGTTCAGCATACTTTGTKTGGATTTTTCCTTAGACCTATGAGTTACTTAGAAATGTGTTTGTTTTCAAATACTTGCAGATTTTTTCAGGTATCTAATTAATTTCTAATTTAATTCTATTGAAGTTAAAGAACCCATTGCCTAACTTGAATTCTTTTAAATTTGACTTGTTTTATAAGTCAGAATATGGTTCATCGTGACAATATATATAATGTTCTTCAGATGTCAATTAAGAAACCCTAGTAGTGTTAGTGTTCCATATCTTTACTGTTTTTCTATCTATAAGACAAATATTGCAATGATAGTTTTTTTTCTTCTTTTTTTCCAGTACTGGGGATAGAACCCAGCGCCTTGAACACACTAGGCAAACACTCTACCACTGAGCTACACCCACAACCCACAGATTTGTATGTTTCTTCTTTTTCTTGGATTTGCTTCAATTTTGAGTTCTGCTTTCTTAATGAACTGATCCCCTCATTATAAAATTGCCCTTTAACCCTGTTTATATTCTTTGATCCAAAATCTACTTTTGTAGTCACTCCTGCCTTCTTGTCTAGTGTTACAACAATACTCTCATCTTTTCCCATCCCAACCAAATTGTGCCTTTATATTTAAAAAGTGTGCTTCTTACAGAGTGCATATAACCAAGTCTTGATGGACATCATTGCTTTATAACTGGTGTTTGGATCAATTACATTAAATGTAATTATTAATATGTGAATTTAAATATAGTATTACATGTGAGTTTAGAAAGTATTAAAATTGAATATTAAGAGGTTGTGAGGGGAATATCAATGAATTTAGCAAATTCAACTCTGTAAGAAGTGGTAAAAGCTCTAGAACAATCTTATACATTAAAAACATACCAGAATAAGTTCAAAAAGTGTTCCTTGGTCAACTTTCAGGAATTCTTGGTCCCAAACAGGGATATCATCTGTTCGYTTTTCTTTGTTCTCATCATCCTCAGGAGGAGGGGGGTCATCCTTGTGGTGTGTGCACCACTGAATGACCTACAACAAAGAAAGTTCAATTCCTCTGGGACATTCTGTCACTCCACTGCTAAGACAGCATTATTCCTATATTGGGATAATAACTAGAGGTTGATTTGAATAATAAGTTCATAGCCAAGCCTGAATAGAAAAACTAAAACCTGAAGAATCTTCACAATCTTAAGAGTGTAGAAGTTTTATTAGATAAATACAAACTATGCAAACATTTTTTGAAATGTACAAAAAGAATCATAAAGTCTGACAGGTTAATGACTGGAAGATACCAGCAACATGTACAACCAACAATGGATTAGTTTACAGAATATAAAAATCCTTTTTTTTTTTTTTTTTTGGTGTGGTTGGACACAATACCTTTATTTTTTAATTTTTATGTAGTGCTGAGGATGGAATCCAGTGCCTCACACATGCTAGGCAAGTACTCTACTGCTGAGCCACAACCCCAGCCCAAGAATATAAAAATCTTAATCACTATAAAGAAATGAGTTAAGGGCTGGTGATGTGGCTCAAGCGGTAGCGCGCTCACCTGGCATGCGTGCGGCCCGGGTTCGATCCTCAGCACCACATACAAACAAAGATGTTGTGTCCGCCAAAAAAAAAAAAACTAAAAAATAAATATTAAAATTCTCTCTCTCCCCAAAAAAATAAAAATAAAGATAATTCAGTCTAACCCAAAATTAAAAAAAAAAAAAAGAAATGAATTAAAAATATATACAAGCAATGGGGCTGGGACTTTGGCTCAGTAGTAGAGCGCTCGCCTAGCGTGTGCAAGGTGCTGGGTTCGATCCTCAGCACCACATAAAATAAATAAAATAAAGGTATTGTGTCCAACTGCAACTAAAAAAATATTTTAAAAATATACACAGGCAATTAACAAAAGAAATCTGAATAGTCAAACATGCTCAGCCTTCCTTACTAGACACAAAAATAATACTAAGTCAGATACTACTCTAAGAGAAAAATAAATCAAAATTGTGAGGACACTAGTTACTAGCAATATTTAAGGAAACTCAGTCATCTACTAGAGAGTATAAATTAATATAACTCCCTTGAAAAGTAATTTAGCACTACCTAATAAAACCAAATATGTACATTACACTTATAACCAAACAATTCTAAATAACCCAGAAATGAGCATATAACTACTGATGTAGGACAAAGCAGAAAAATCCATGTTCTCTTGGTGGCAGGGAATGAATATAAAGTTTCAGAAAACTGACTATTCAAATTATGTACAGCAGCATAAAAACCAATAATCAATACTGGAAGTGTTAAGTTATAGACTCTAACTAAGTAGTACGTAGATGGCTGTTTGCTGTATCTTTAAAATTTTTTCATAGTATAATGCTGAGAGAAAATGACACAGATGAGAAATTATAGTGCCAGGACGGACGGATGGACGGACACACAGGGACAGACACACGGGGACGGACACACACACACACACAAATTATTTCAAAAAGGAAAAGCCAAGCATAAGGGATTTCAGTAAATTAAATAATTGCTTTTTAAAAAGTATTTCAATTATGTAAGAAGCAGTAGCGGTGTACTCCTGTACTTCCAGCAAACAGAGACTGAGGCAGGAGGATCCCAAGTTTGAAGTCAGTCTCAGCAACTTAGCAAGACCCTAACTCAAAGTAAAATACAAAGAGGATTCAAAATGAAACCATTTCATTTCATGCAGAATGAAAGAGCAACTATGAGTTCCTGCCATCCCAGTACCCTGTCCAGAGCCTGAGAGCTAAAACTCTATAGCTCTGCCTCAGATACCTTTTGAAAACTCCATTTAATTAATAGCAAATAAATGGATTCCTGCTCCAAAAGAGCACTGACTTCAATAATTCTACCTTGTTTGTGGGGCAGTGTCTGGATTGAACAGTCAGCAAATTTGGCAGTGGTAGAGTTTATTTGTGCCCCCTGCATTGGGCTGCCACTTGACCAACTTGTCCAAGGGTATGACAATCAATAGACACTACAGTGGAATAAACATTATAGCCACCAGGTTTGTCCTGAAATAAACTTTTATGCTTGATCATAGAAACACACGTGTATTTTAGAGGTTTTGTGCTCTGTAAACAGAAGCTACACTGAAAGAACATAACCAGTCCCAAAGGTAAAGATAGCAAAGGTTGTCTGATATTCTTACCAACTATGCAATGTACAAGTTGTGAGCATCAGATAGCCTTAAAGTTGGTCGTGACCTTCCTGTACATGACTCTCACATCCAAGAGGTGATTAAAAAAAAAAAAATGCAGTCCAAAGTGAACAAAGAAATAGAGACCTTAGGCATAAAGGAAAACATTTGTGGTTCCCCATTCAGGGCTTCTTCCTATCCTCCAAGGGCTAGTGAGTCCTAGAGGTGTTTGTTCTGTTCTCATGTTTGTGTTTTGTTTAAAAGAAAAGTGAATGATCAATAAATAACACACATTTTTATAATAAAATCATCTTTTCATACTCAAAAATGTGCTAATACAAAAGACCAGACAACTCAAATATTTATAAGGCCTTGATAAATAAACTGCAACAACTATCTATAGTCATGATCGTACTACATAGAATTTTAAAAAAGGATGCTATGAGTTGAAAGATCACCATTTTATTTAGTTATATGGATAAAGAAAACATTTGCAAGTATATAGTCTGCTACCTTAAGAATGAGAAGAAATATACTTATTTGTTAATTATCTGCAACACAAAGTATTGGAGGACTAAATGATTACCTGAAGGAGGGGGATCAGAGTTAACAGGGAAATGAGAATGAAGTGTTACGTGTTCCTTTATTTTTGGTTTTAGTCATTTCAAAAATATAACTCTAGAAAGGTAGGCATAATTCCATGATGCTCTGAGAAATATTTTTATGAAAGGCTATTTACCAATATCTATGAAAATTTAGGTGTATAAACCATCTTGTGACCCAGATTTCTTACTATATCATCTACATAGACACAGGAGTACCAAGTATAGAAACCTTTCTGTAAAGCATGTGATTAGCATGCACAAGGCTTCAAGTTCCATTCCCAAGACCGCAAAAAAAGAAAAAAAATGTTTCTAATAATCAATGACAATGGTCAACGGTGGCAACAAAGCAGACAAAACTTCTTTCTGTATAGTATTGTTTAAAATCATTCAAATAATTGTTGAACAGTCAAATTTAAAAGTAATTTAGGCAGTAAAGTTCTAATACAGGCGGTTAAGTAGACTTAACTGATGTCAGGAAAACACTGATAGTATATGCCTCAATAAAAACTATACAAGAGTAAGTTCAAGTGTGGTTGAGTCTACTTTCAGAAAATCTACCCAAAATTAAAAAAGAAAAAGAAAAAGAGAAAACTACGTTTTCCTATTTCAGGATTAGAAGCATCATAGGCTAGATTTGGAACTACTCATCTAGACAAAGAACAATGAAAACATGTAGAAGCTTAAAAGCTAAATTCACTGAAGACCTTAAAAGATGCTGGGAATGCAGCTCAGTGGGAGACCTAAGGCCCTGGGTTCAATCACCAGAATGAATGAATAAAAAAATAAATGAGGACCTTACCTTTTTTAATATTGCTGCATTCACATTTGGTAGAGGAACTGGGTCATCATCTCCTTCATCATCCATTCCCAAATCTTAAAAAAACAGAAGAGTGACCATTATTTCCAACTCTCCACTCCCAACTAGGCTATATTTAAAACTTGCAAGGCATACTGTCTGAAAGAAAACACAAAGTACTTTACTAAGAATAGTTATAAGAGCATTTAAAATTGGTGGTTCCTGACAATGGGTCGTCCATGATCCACCCAAAAGCTGTGAGTAGGACGAGAATATAATAAAAGAGAAGTTTTTAATTAGATTTAACAAGAGAGACTAAATGAAAAAGTGACTTAAGATAGCCAGTCATCAGGAAACAAAATTAAGACTAGACCCTTATTCTTACTCTCTTTATACCAAATTCTCTAGATGGACTGCATTTAGAAAAACAATGAAAAGCATTATAAGTAATAAAATTTCAATCCACTGAAATATGAAACCCATGTGTTCCATCCTCAGTACTGCAAAACAAAAAATACAAAAGAATTTAAAGATGTATGCACGCACGCGCGCTCGCGTGAGGTCATGCAGCTACTGACAAAAACAAGGCAGACAACCCATATACACTGGTATGATCAAGAAGCCAGATATAAAGATAAATGTTATCTGAATAAAAGTAGAAATATGCTTACACATTTGTCTAAAAATTACCTCCAGAAAACTTGAGGAACAGTGAAGATATTAAGTCTAAGAAAGTTAACTGAGAATGTGGGTTGAGGGACTTACTTTCAACATATACCCTTGCATTTAGTCTATTAAGCACTTATTACCTAAAATAATGAATCTACAAAGGTCTAACTCGAATTCTCAAAATGGTTGGTGAGCCAGATGCAATGGCGCACACCTGCAAATCCAGCAACTCAGGAGGCTGGAGCAGGGACTCAGGAGGCTGCAGCAGGAGGATCCCAAGTTCAAGGCCAGCATGGGCAACTTAGCCAGATCCTGTCTCAAAATAAAAAAATAAAAAAGGGCTGGGGAAATAGCTCAGTGGTAGAATATTCCCCAGGTTCAATCCCCAGTACTTTGTGAAGGGTAAAAATAGTGAATCTTTTTTGTTTCGGGGGCAGGCAGTACTGGGGGTTGAACCCAGGGGTATTCTACCCCTGAGCTATATCCCTGGACTTTTTTTTTTTTTTGGAGAGAGGGTCTAGCTAAGTTGCCCAATCTGGCCTCAAACTTGGGATCCTCCAGGTCCAGCTTCTCAAATAGGTGGGGTTACAGGCATGCACCACCAAACCTAGTTTGGTTTAAAGATTCTGAATAGAAATTTTTTTTTTGACCTATCCTTCAGTTTCTATACAACTAAAGAAGAGCTCCTTAACAAAATAATGTAATTGTTACCAAGTACCAAAATTAGAGGCCAAAAGTTATCGTGCTGTATGGTTTTAACAGAGTTATTAGTGATGCAACACGGCCAATACTTAGTCAAACATTTAAGTACCTAATACACAAGATGCTGTCCTAGGCAGGAGAGAGTCAGCAATGAATACAGGAGCATGGTGAGTGGGGAGCTGAAATTTAAAAATTTCTCCTAAGATTATCCTAGTAAAATCTTAAGAGGCAAAAATACCTGAAGCAGAGGGAACAGCAAATGCACTAAGGAGTGCCTGGAATGTTCTGAAAACACCAAGGGCTAAGCACAGTACACTCCTATAGTCCCTACTACTCAAGAGGCTTAGGCAGAAACATCATTTGAGCCCAGGATTTTTAGTCCAGTCCAGGCAATTTAACTAGACCCGATCTCAAAAACTAAACAAAATAAACATAAACACTAAAGAATCTAATATTAGGGCTGGGGATGTGGCTCAAGCGGTAGCGCGCTCGCCTGGCATGCGTGCGGCCCGGGTTCAATCCTCAGCACCACATACAAACAAAGATGTTGTGTCCGCCGATAACTAAAAAATAAATATTAAAACTCTCTCTCTTWAAAAAAAAAAAAGAATCTAATATTATTAGATTGGTGTTAATAAATAGGAAGTGAAGCAGATAAGAATTGAGTAATAGRGAGCTAAATAGTAGTAAGATAGTCAGCTTTCTGGCATAAGAGGAAGCAGGAGGGAGAAAAGAGGGAAAACAACTCTGGTTTTGATAATTCAGGAACAAGTCGTCAACTTGGACAAGGTTTGTACCTAACAAGGAGTTAAGAAATGGTTTACTCTATGCATTTTGAAGAAAAAGCCCAAAGAATTTGCCAAGAAAATGGAATATATGAGGAGTCAGTGAAGACTGGGGTTTATGGCATGGGAAGGATAGACCTGTCACTGGTAACTGTTATGCAAGGTGTCAAAACCAGGCACTGTGGCACACACCCATAATCCCAACAATTTGGGAGGCTGAGGCAGGAGGATCTCAAGTTTAAGCACAGCCTCAGCAACTCAGCAAGACTCTTATCTCTATAAAATAAAGAATTAAAAGGGCTGGGGATGCAGTTCAGTAGTAAAGTGCGACAGGGTTCAATCCCCAGTTCCCTTCCAAAAAAAAAAAAAAATGTAGGTGAATTTGGGAATTGCTATTGCCATGATTCATGATGCTATGGTACTATGACCAAGGGAATGAATGAGTATAGAAACAAGAAAAAAGTCCAAGGATTAAGTCCTAGGAAACAGGCTTTAGTGATGTGTTATGGTATGAATGTGAGCCGTCTCCCAAAAGCTCATGTATGAAACAATGCAAGGAGGTTCAGAGAAAAAAAATGACTGGGTCATAAGATTCTTCACCCAATCAGCGAATTAATCCCCTGATAGAGTTTAACTGAGTGCTATCTTAAGTGGTAGGGTGTGGCTGGAAGAGGTGAGAATTTCATACAGCATGGCTTTGGTGTATATATTTGTATATGGAGAGTGGAGAATGTTTCCTGATCACCATGAGGTGAGCTGCTTCTCTTAGCCACACTTTCCGGCCATGATGTTTAGCCATCCCTCGAGTCCCAAGAAATGGAGCCAGCCTTCTATGGGCCAAGACCTCTGAAAAAAAGAGCCCTCAAATAAACTCTTCCTCCTTTATAATTTTGCTGGTGGGGTCATTTAGTCATCAGCAAAAAAAAAAAAAAAAAGCTGACTAAAACAAGATAGGAGACAGGCACCGGGTGAGGTAAGTAGTATAATAAAGTCTCTTGGAAGCAACTAAAAGAAGCCAATTTTCAAGTGTCTAGTTGACAATCAAAAACAGACAAGGCACTTAACCACTTGAAGGTTACTAAGTTTAACAAGCAGTTTAAATGGAGTGGTAAAGGCAAGAACAGATTCAAGTTGGGCACAGTGGTGCATGACTGCCATCCCAGCTATTCAGGAGGCTGAAGGACTTTAAGTTCCAGGCTAGCCTGGGCATCTTACCAAGACCTGACTTGGGGGGTGGGGGTGGGTAGGCTAGGGATGTATAGCCCAGAGGCAGACCACTCAGTTTCCCCAGTACTGAGGAGGGAGCAGACTCAAAAAGAAGTTACACAATGTAAAATACTGGTGCTTGGGGAGTTAAGATAAGGGAAAACAAAATAGAAAGCCAGCTTTTTAGTTCCAAAGGTTATTTGGAAGAAAGCTTAAGTCACATTAAAATTAAGCTCCTTAAGAATTGTACGGTTTACTTCTCCAGCACTTGGATGTGAAGCACTTTTTTGTTTTTAAACCAAATGCACAAGTAGCAACAGTCATTCCTTTAAGCTATTTGGTTTCAAGGACTTCTAAAAGAAACCTGTGTCCTGATACCACACCCTGGACCTGAACAAATAAGCCAATCCACATGTACACATGCCAAGATTTTCACTTCTGATTGTCCTGTGATTAAAAGGTTTTATTTTGTTTTCTAAGTCACATGAAACTCTAACAAGAGACACTGCAGATGCAAAACAAGGAAAGCAGTAAGTTGCCAAATTCAAAAGACTCCAGTCTTCAAGAGGTTAGAATCCTGTATAAGCTACTGGTACTTAAGATAAAACCATTCACCTCTGATTTCCAAAAGGTATGGAGAGAATCATTTAACTGTTGCTATCAATCCACTTGCTTCAGTGATTAAAGGTGACATAAAACCTTCAAGAAGCCCTATGTTCTTAAAATTGACAAATGTTCTTTGAAGCAGCTTGGGACAGATTAGTGTGTCAGGCACCAACTAATATGAAATAAAGAACACTTTCATTGCCAAAGCAAGTATACAGGCAGCAATTTTACTGTCAGTTTCTACGTCTTTCACATAAAGCCTTACTCACCTGCCTTTAGAGATACCTGGATTGCTTTCATATTCTTTATTAGTGACCATACCATAATTCTTCATTTAACAGGTACTTGATGAACAGTGACTGTGGGATGTACCAAGGGGTTTATAAACCTAATAGAAGTGATCTGTGTAAGTTACAAGAATATAGGACTGCAAGTGCCACACGATTGGTACCAAAAACCAAAAATAATGCGGTGTTCAGCTTTTATTGGAAAGCAGAAGCCCCTTATTTAGAAAACTGAAGACACATTCTCCACAATTCAGTTTCTACCTCTACCACACCTAAATATCTACGTTAGTAGTCCTCTAACTTATCAACTGTAATAAAATCCTAAGTAGCCAGTCTATAGTATATGAATCTGATAATCATTCTAGTCGTCTAGAAATACTTCCTCTACCCTTTGTTTCCACAAATCCTACTCCACTGATTTGTTCAATTCTGACGACTATATTCTTAACACCTCAGCCCTGCACTAACCTCATCTTCCAGAGTTATACTCTAATAGTGCACCATATAAACCAAGTCTATCTCTAGCAGTTTTAAAAGCCAGGGGCCAAGATCCAAATTTGCCTATTAGACGGCTGCATTGATATTTATTTATTTATTTTGGTACCAGGGATTAAACCCAAGGGTGCTTAACCAGCCCTTTTATTTTTTTAAGACAAGGTCTCACTAAGTCCATAGGGCCTCGAGAAATTGCTGAGGTTGGCCTCAAACTTGCAATCCTCCTGTGCTGAGATTACAGTGTGTGCCAYTGTGTTYGGCTCTACATAGATCTTTTGAAGGAATCTCAAAACATAGTTCAAGCTCAGAGCCATTTTCTTCTACATTCCTCTCCAATTCATGTACAGTTCTACCAATGACAGTACCAAAATCCCACTGGCCCCAACAAACCTCAACTAATAACTTTAATTATACTTGTTTCTAATTAATCCTATCTACCTCAGAATGATTTCCAAAACATTCTAATTTTACTAAACTTGAAATACATGTAATCTTTCTAGTACTCCCACTGTGTCTTTCCAAAAGGGTAAAGAACACCGTCAAGATGTTCCTGCAGCATTACTTGGCACACAACTTTATTAATGCACTAATTACACCAAGTGACTATTTGCTTTGTTTAGTGTCTGGCTCTGCYCCCTTCCTAGGTTATAATTCTTCAACGGCAAAGATTATCTGTCACCTTCTTTTCACTAGCATATAGCTAGCACTTGGCACATAACCCCTTTCTTCATTTAAGTATTTGTAAGCTGCAGATCTTGCTTATATAAAAACCTGACATTTCAGTGCTAAAGAACACCACTGCTACCAAGTTTTGTCTTCCATCAATTTTAGACAGATTTGTACTGGTAACACTAAGAAAGCTTCAAAGTTTCAGGACCTGTTTTCTTGTGTCACTCTGCTGTGTTCCATATATATACTTCTCAGCAGGTTCAGAGGAATGATACAAGGGAAACCTTGTTTTTAAAAGAAAAATGACATTCATACATCTACAGAGCTTACTCCCTATGCGAAAACAAGGTGTTCTATTTAGCTATGGTAAAATAGCCCTTTCCCAAAGGCTTTAGTTTTTGTTATTAGAATTTGGGCGCAGTGGCACATCCCTATAATCCCAGAGACCTAGGAGGCTGAGTTAGAGGCCAGTCTCATAAACTTAATGAACCCCTCAGAATGCAGAGACACTGTCTCAAAATAAAAAAATGAAAAGGGTTCTGGGTATAGTTAGTAGCAAAGGGCCCCTGGATTCAATCCACAGTTCCAAAAAGAAAAAAAAAAAAAAAAAAAAAACGAATCCAAATTTATTTGAAACAAAAATGGACCACTGTCTGACACCTGAAAAATCACTGTGGACTTAATTATCTTGTGGTTTTATCCTTTTAGGAAGTATAACAGTCATTAATTAAGACACTGCTGCAGAAAAGATGACCTGTGTCAGAACAATGCAGTCTATGCTTTAAAGACAAAAAATGAAAATGTTAAAAAAAAAATCTCCAGCACCACCAAAAAAATAAAAAAGAGAGAAAATGTTACCCTTTCATAGTCTTGAGTCTTATGACAGATGTAGTTCATGTAAATCCAATATTCACAAGTTATCTCAAACACATTTCTTCCCACCTAGGTTTTCTGATAGACTTACCTTCCAACATGGTCTTGATTGTCACAGATTGTTTGGCAATTTCTACGTCAACTTCAAATATCTCCCCATCAGAACTCTGCAACTTAATTGAAG